TAAAGTCTAAAATAAAACAGAAAGAGCGAACGAGATGAATGAGATGCAGATTCACTCTCTGCCAGCAGGTGGCGCTTAAAGCATTTCCTTGGTTTCTGCTGTAAACAAAGCAGCGCTGAACTTATGAACTTTAATATGCATTATACAGAGGCAAGATGAAAAGAAAAAATACCATCTAAACTTTTCTAAAGACAGTAAGTTCCCCTCAGACATACATTCATATAAACTCCTACACCTAAATGAATCGCGATTTGTTTAGCATCTCAACCGATTTGAATTGTCACATATTTGAATCGATTTTCAACCAGCTGGCAGTTAATCGTTACAATCATTACACCCCACAGAAGAGAGGGGCGGGGCGAGCAGTAGCTCATTATCATTTAAAGAGACATGCACCGAAACGGCTCGCTGTGAACAGAGCTGTTTTTGACAAGGTAAAAAGGTTTTGTTTTACACGACCATTGAGGAGTTTTAACCAAAGCATGTTTCAGACATTTCATGAAGACCCTAAAGAATCAAACCAACTTGTGAAAAATGGGCATCCGATGTCCCCTTTAAAAGGTTTAGTGTGTAATTTCATGTTTAAAAAAAGTCCTTTCTAATACTAATACTAACGTAATTTATCGTTAAAATACTTCTATTCTTCTATGATGTTTTGTGCTTTCTCAGATTTTAGATCTTAATAATAAAATTTTTTATATTCATGATAATTTAATAGTAATAATATATTTAAAATGATAAATAAATAAATGTATTCATTAGGGCTGTCGCGGTTAGGAAATTTCCCTTGCGGTTATTATGGGTGGCTCAATATGCGGTTTTACCGCGTTTTTTTTAAATAGCGCGGTATTACAATATTGCGGTTATCGCGACAGCCCTAGTATTCATAATATACCTTATTATAATTGTAATATGAATATTTGCTAAAATAATATTAATTCAGTTATTTCGTATTTCATTTAAGACTTTTTAGCATCTATAATAAAAGTCTCTTAAGCTCACCAAGGCCACATTTATTTTATGAAAATTTCAGTAAAAACAGTCATATTGTGAAATATTATTACAATTTAAATAACTATTTAATTTTATGGAATGGTATTCCGGACAATATTCTAAAAGAATTGCAAATTGCACATTTGTGTTTCCATTTGCTTTTCTGTATATGTAAAAATTTTATAAGGAACCACAAAGTCCATTTCCAACGTCTTACGAGTTATGATTCTGTCTTTTTGGAGTAGCAATAGAAAATCACCCACTTGCTATTTCACTTTCTCCGCGTCCTGCTCCAACCCTCACAAGGACAATATTCAAAAGGAATTGCAAGGGTAACCCACACATTCATCCGATACATTCTTGAGTCCAGTCCAAAGTTTCCCAAGCACCCCAGTATATGACTCGTTACCGCTCTGCATCCGGTCACAGCAGTTTTCTTTTTTTCTGGTTGACAGGTGAACATAAAATCAGTTCTGGATTCTTGACTTTGTTTGAAGTGAAAGTGAATAAAATAATTAATTAATGGGCATGTTTTCATTGCAAAAATGGCCAAATTCCCCATTTTCCTCATAGGAATGAATAACGATGCTTTGTTTTCTGCCAGTAGTGGGCGTGGCATACTTTCCCACTATATCAATAAACCCCACCCTCAAGATTGATTGACAGCTGACTGCGTTACGAACTGGAAATGCAAGTGCAAAGGGGATTGCAATTCCACTTGAATTTTGTGAGGGTTGAAGCAGGACACAGAGAAAGTGAAATAGCCAATGGGTGATTTTCTATTGCTATTCCAAAATGACAGAAACATATCTCGTAAGACATTGGAAATGCAATTGCAAATTTATTTCCTAATCACAATGTATGCATCCACAAATTGAAAACGCAATTGCAAATACAATTTGCAATTCCTTTTGAATATTGTCCTAAATATCATTCCATATAATTAGAAATTTTAAGTGTAATCTAAGTTTTGCTGAAAATATAAAAATTATTTTTATAATATTACAATTACGATCCCATTGAAACAATGACAATACAACAATTATTCAAACTTAACATAGTGACATTGTTTCTCTTTAAATAAGAAAAACGCAAAACTGAGGTAATGTTACAAATGACCACAAATTTAAGCACAAAAAAACTAATCTTTCTAATAAACATAGATTCTCAATGAAATGTATTAACGTGCTCGTTTTATAGTTTTTCTGGTCGTTGGTTCTGTTGTGATTTTCCACTCGTGTTGTAATGTCAGGTGTTGGTCTGAAGTGCGTCTGAGTGTTGAATGAGAGTGATCCTGGCGTGAGGCCTGTGGGAATGAGGGCAGGTGTGTTTGTCAGGACAGACCGCAGAGACACAGCCAAACAAAACTATTACATATTTCAAGGCCTCATCATATCAGACTTTTGCTTACATTGTTCTGCAACTTGGCGATGTCCGTTTGGAACGAGAACATTTTGCAGCTTCTTCTCTGAAGTTTTGCGTTCTGAAAGTTGTTTTTATAGGACAATGAATGAGGTTTCTCATGATCCTCCATGATTTGTCTGGATCTTTCTGCTTTTGAGGATGAAGGAAGTTCTCTGTGTCTTTTGTCTGTTATGTGTCCCACACTGGGTAAATATTACTGTAAGTCCTGCCCTGATGGACTCTTGCCACACCGGATGTGATTAATGAGTACTGGAGATTCACATTAATAATCAGTCAGCATTCTCTTTCTTCTAGATGAATCTATATGCACTTTGGACAAATATTGAGATTGTGCTGTTCTCGTCTGCTGTATCAGAGAATAGCTAAAACTTGAACACCTTGGCATTATGGATCGAGTTTTGCATGGGCTTACATTTTCTTCATATCATGTAAAAATGAAGCTCAGATGCTTCAATATATTTCCTGTTATGACTGAATAGCTCGCATCTGTGGCTGCTGTGGTTTGAAATTAATGGACAATATGAGCTGAATTAGCGAGTAAGGAAGGAAGGATCTGTGCTGATTTCAGGATTTTGGTTCCTCGTTTTGACCACAGAGGCATCTAAAATATTGCCAGATGATTGTGACCTATTTAACTCTCTGGGATGATGTAATTGAGGCATGCGAGTCAAAACCTGTGACGCATCAAATACCATGCTTTCAGCTGCTCTGGATCCATGAAGTAATAATAAAAAATATTATATTAAATATTAAAAACATTAATTAATATGAAAGCATATTATCATTTTTTTAAATAATTTATAATGCATAAAAAAAAAAAATGAAATGATTAATTAATATTATGTATTGAATATTATTTATAAATATTAAAAAATTACTTTATGTATATATACGTGTGTGTGTGTGTGTTTGTGTATATATATATATATATATATATATGTGTGTGTGTGTGTGTGTGTGTGTGTATATATTTGTAGTGTGCTTTTATCATCATTATTATTATTCATATTTATATTTAGTTTTAATTTCAGTTTTAGTAATTTTAGTGTTTCAACTTTCTTTTCAACACAATTTATTTTTTCAGTTAGCTGCTCAACAAATTAGGCAACATTTCTAAATTTTAATTTAGAAATAAAATTTTTCATCTAATATTTATATTTTATTTTATTTCTGCTTTATTCCCTAAAATCAGTAACCTTAGGTTGTTTTTTTTTACTATATATATATATATTAATATATTATATATATATTAATATTTTTATTAGTCACGATTTATCGCAATCTGAAACATGCACACATGCATGTATATATTTAAGAAACATATTTTTTGTTTATATATAAAATATTAATATTTATATTTTAATATAAATATATACATGTAAATATATATTTTTTAAATGTATGTATGTTTATGTATTTATATATACACATAATAAATATACAGAGTACAGTACACACACATATATTTTGTAAACGAAAACTTTTATTTGGATGCAATTAATCGCTTGACCGCACTAATTTTTATTAAACAGTAATAAGCAATTATATTCACACACACACTATAATAATTGCTATTGTTAAATAATAAACAATTGTTTAATAATTATTGTTTAATAATAATATTAATAATAATAATAGAGTTCATCTCTTTCAGGATCCGTCTGTCACTCAGGTGACCAACTCTGGAATCGATCACATTGAAAGTTTCACTCCATTTCCTGATGGCAACTCTGTGACGGTGAGTCTAGTGAACATTATTTCAGTGATTGTGTAAGATGAGTAGATTGAGCCAGTTGTGCTCTGAACTCTAAAGCAATAAAGCAATAAGCTACTCGAGGCCATGAGCTCCGCTGATTTGACCACGGTTAAAGTCATTTGTTCCACTGTTTTATATCACAAGAAATAAATAAAAAGGATAGTAATGTAAAGGCTAAATGTTCCAACAGTAGTACCATACAAAATACCAATGTTTTGTGTTTTATTATCAATTAAAATCCTAATAATTCACGGTCTTTCGGTCAGGGAAGCACCATCCCAGCCTCCAGCGCTCAACCTGCTGTCCTGCAGCCGTCAGTGGAGCCCAGTCCACAGGTCAGAGTCTCACACACACAAAAGTGCCGCATCTCTGTGTGTTTTTGAGGGTTGTAATCGGCCCGTGTGTGTCTCTGCAGGCCACGGCTGCAGCTGCGCAGGCCAATCTGCTCAAACAGCAGGAGGAGCTGGAGAGGAAAGCAGCCGAGCTGGATCGACGAGAACAAGAGCTGCAGAGCAGAGGAGCGCCGGCAGGTAACACACACCACTCTGCTTCTGCTGTATGTGATGACATGCTAGATTTGCATGAGGTACAGTATCCCACGATGCAATGCATCTGACTTCACCTTGCACTTTCAGTGTGATTAATAATCTAATAGTAATACTAATTACATCCAAAAATGTTATGCTCTTGATGCATAATTTAATCAGACTGGCACATACAAACTAAAATGTAAGATAACTGGATGCTATTTACGGAATTAAACATGCAATGTTATCATTGATAAACTATTATAGTTTTTGTTAATATTTTGAATTATATTTAATTTTTTTATATTCTTTGTTTTCATTTTAATTTTATTTGAAATTTTTTGTTTATGTAATTTTTATTAGTTTTTGTTTAAATATGTCTATATAATTTTTTTTGTTGCATTTTAGTTTATTTAGTTTTAATAATAATAATAATAGTATATAGTTAATATTATAGTTAATTAAAACTAAAACCATAAAAAAAAAATCTTTATTTGAAATTTCAATTAAGTAAAATAAAATATAATAAAAATGATTATAAGCTTATTTTATTTCAGGTAGTTGCCAAGGCAGCATTTCTCATTTTCATTTAGTTCAACTAGATCTACTAAAATAATTAAAACTGAAATAAAAATGGTTTTAAAACATTTTAAAACACGCAACAAAATTACTAAAAATCTACCTTAAATTAAACATTAAAAAACAATAAAATAAATACATAAAACATTTTTTATTATTAATAAAAACTATAATAGCATCTCAACAATACTAAAATAAGATTGGTTTTAGTTATTGTAGTACTTTAACTTCAACTAAAAGAAAATGAGATTTGTCTTGTCATTAAAAATTGCCTTGTCAACTAGCTGAAATATAATAAGTTTTAATATAATAAAATATTATTTAATGGTAATTAAATAAAACATTTTATGAATGTATTCAGATCAATTTAATTAATATCTTAAATCAAATGAATAATTATTAATTTATTGATTATCATTTGAAGTAATGAAAAGGTCTTTTAATGGTTTACAACTGGCACATACAACTTTTACAAATAATAATATATACTGCTCAGTATGCTAATATTCCATTCTGAGTGTGTTTACACTCATCTGAATGCATTCAGTTGCATAAATCAACAGACTAGCGCCTTTGTTTGTTGTTACTGTTTGACAAGCTGCTGCTAAGGATTGTGGGATATGGGCGTCTGTCTCACCTCACACTTGTTCTCTTCAGGCAGACAGAACAACTGGCCTCCTTTTCCCAAGTTCTTTCCCATCAAGCCTTGCTTCTACCAGGACTTCTCTGAGGAGATCCCGCAGGAACATCATAGACTCTGCAAAATGATCTATTACCTGTGGATGTGTGAGTTTACAGGCCGCTGATGCTTCCGTCGAAATGATGCGTTTTAATTTGGCATACACTACCGCTCAAAAGTTTGGGATCAGTAAGACTTGTAATGTTTTTTTAAAGAAGTCTCTTATTATGCTCATCAAGGCTGCATTTATTTGATCAAAAATACAGAAAAAAACAGTAATCTTGCAAAATGTTATTACAATATAAAATAATGTTTTCTATTTTAATATCCTTTAAAATATAATTTATTTCTGTGATGCAAAGCTGAATTTCCATCATCATTACTCCAGTATAAAGTGTCACATGATCCTTCAGAAATCATTCTAATATGCTGATTTATTATTATATTTAGAATTATCAACAGTTGTGCTGCCAAATAATTTTTTGATCTGACCCAGTAGACGCCATAATCCCACTCTGTCTCTCTCCCGTCTTGCTTTTTTTTTAAAAATTTTTAATGGTGGGTGTCTACGCAGTTGGCTAGAGCAGTGCTGATTGGGGAGAACGGAGGTGCGCTCACTCTATTGGTTAGTAAGACTGCAACTCAAGGCTGGCAGTCATGCATATGCTCTGGAACGGAGTAATATCGCGTCCATATCGCAGGCTTTGCGATTAGGAAATCGCAACGTCTCAAATCGCGATTTCGATTCGATTTCGATTAATCGCACAGCCCTAATCCTTGCTGAATAAAAGTTTTAATTTCTTTCAACAAAAAAAAGAAAGTATAAAAATGTACTGACCCCAAACTTTTGAACTGTAGTGTATATTGTTAGAAAAGATTTCTATTTTAAATAAATGCTCTTCTTTTTAACTTTTTATTCATCAAAGAATCCTGAAAAAAGTATCACAGGTTCCAAAGAAATATGAAGCAGCAACAGTTTCCAGCATTGATAATAAATCAGCATATTAGAATGATTTCTGAAGATCATGTGACACTGAAGACTGGAGCAATGATGCTGAAAATACAGCTTTGATTCACAGGAATAAATGATATTTTAAAGGATATTAAAATAGAAACCATTATTTTATATTCTAATAACATTTTGCAAGATTACTGTTTTTTTCTGTATTTTTGATCAAATAAATGCAGCCTTGATGAGCAGAAGAGACTAGAGGTCTGCTACTCGACCCGAGCCCGACGGGTCCTGAAATACTTTCGGGTTCGGGTCGGGCTCAGGTTGATAGCTAAACTAAAACTATATGCAGGCTACGCTGCTTTCATAGACGCACGCACACACACACATTATTGCACACGACAACACAGCACGGTAACTTTTATTAGTAAAATAGCTTCGATAGGCTACTGACTCGCAACGTTATATTTACCGACCGCAGGCTTCTGGACGGGATTTTAGTAATTTAACTTAAACTTATTTTATTTCTGTTAGTTGCCAAGGCAGCATTTCTGATTTTTAAATTCAAGCTTTTAAGTTTTTAAGTTTGAGTTTAACATTCATCTAACATTTATATTTTATTTTTAACTTTATTTTAGTTACCCAAAGTGATTTTTAATAGTTTTTACTAACTCTTTTTAAACATATTCCTTATTTTGAATGTTCCAAGTAACTTATTATTAAGTTAAGCTCATAATAATATCATCATAATTATAACTTTTCAACATTCAATCAATTTTCAGTTCTCATTTTATTTTATTGTTGAACAAACAGTATTATTTTAGTATTATTTCTATACTATTATAGTTTCTGTTTTCACTTTTCATTTTAATTATAGTATTTTTAAATATAAAAATATAGTATTTAAATATAGTTTTCTTTTTAGTAATTTTATACTGTGCATTTGTCATTTTTATTATATAGTTTTTTAAATAACTTTCTTAATAACTTTTATTCAATTGTATTTCAGTTTTTGTTTTAGTAGTTTTACTATTTGAACTTAAACCTATTTTATTTTAGTTAGTTGCCAAGGCTAAATTACTAATTTTCATTTTAAAGTGTAAGTTTTTCATGTAATATTTATATTTTTATATATTTATATTTCAGTTACCTAAAACAATGTTTTATAGTGTTTTTATATATTTTTATTTATATATTTTTGACCCGTTGCCTAGCCTGTAGTTGGAGAAATGGAGATGCACAGTGTTGCCAATTTAGCGACTTTTCAGTCCCCTTTAGCGACTTTTTAAAAAAAATTTTAAAGTACCTAGCGACAAATCTAGCGGCTTCTTGGACAAACCTTATTTACTTTCTGAGACTCGCTGGTACTGCCGCGCAAGCACGAGGGTTTGCGTCTGATCTGTTCAGCGAGCGGCGGAGAGGAGCAGCGCTTTCAGTTAAAACAGATATTCTGTTGCTTCTCTAATTTTACATGCAAGCATAGCCGAAATCACAGCACAGCTATTATCTTTACCTTATGTGTATTTGATTTCATCAGACGACGGCTTGATTATAAATCAAGATTTTTGTGCAGATTAACGTCTTACTAGGTCGCGTTTCAGTCACTTTTTCATATTCATTCCGTTGTCTGACAACAGAAACAGTAAAATATAACAATTTAGCTGCATCAAAATACAGTATGTGGTCACAGAGAGGCAAACAAATGTAATAATAAATAATAAATGTACAGCATGTTCAGAAGAAGTGAGCTGCCCTGTTGTGCAAAAATGTAAACAGGCTTGTGTAAGTAAATTGCTCAATGCAAAGAAAGAGAAGTAATGGGAACCTGCTTGTATGTTCTTTTTTTCATGTGTCTAATAGACATGAACAAGTTCTTTGAAAAACATCTATGACCTTTGAAACATGTCTAGTCTTCATGCTCTATGTTGACTATGGTTTCACTAATAATAAACATGCATTTGCATAAAGCATCCATATTTGTCCATGCCCATGTTGATTAGAGTATTAAAAACTTGAAAAGTATTAATTTAAGGTACATTTAGAACAGATAAAAATGTGCGATTAAGTTGCGATTGTCATGAGTTAACTTGAGATTAATCATGCGATTAATCGCTATTAAATATTTTAATCGATTGACAGCCCTAATATATATATATTCATACATGGGGTCAGTTTTGATTAGGGATATAAAACAAAAAGTACCGATAAGAATACCGTTAAAGTACCGAATCGATAAGCAGTATCGATAAGAGTAGTAATACCGTTAAAACCTTAACGATACCCATCCCTAGTTTTGATTCCATCAGATTGAGTTGAACTCTGCTGGCTGATGCACGTCCGTGTGTGATGTGTGGCTGCTGTTTGATGTGAGCTTTATATACATGTGTGTGTGTGTGTGTGTTTGCAGGGCAGTGTGTGACACTGTTTCTGAACGTTCTGGCCTGTCTAGCTGAGTTCACCACTAACAAAGATGCAGGCGTGGACTTCGGTCTGTCCATCCTCTGGTTCATCCTGTTCGCTCCCTGCTCCTTCCTCTGCTGGTTCAGACCCGTCTATAAAGCCTTCAGGTGAGCAGCAGAAGAGAGTTCAAATGACTGATCAGATCACGTTGTTGGGCTTTACATGTTTACGTCACTTTGATGATTGATATATTTCTGACAGTTTCTTCAATTTTGACAATCTATTATGAATATCTGTATACTATTTTGGTATTTATTAATATTTAGAATTAGCTTTTTATATTTTCAGTTTTCAATTTTGAGACTATTAAGAGAGCATTATTATGTGACTCTCTGGAATATTTGTATACTATTATAGTGTTTTATTAATATTTAGATTTAGCTTTTATTTTAGTTTACGTTTTAGTAATTTTGTTATTTGGTTTTGTCATCTCTATTATTATTTTTTTTATTGTTTAGCTTATTATCTTTCATTTATTTCACGTTTTAGTTTTTAGTCATTTTAGTTTTTGAACTTAAACTTATTTAATTTCAGTTTCAGGTCTGACACCTTTAATTTTGGGACTCTATTATGAGAATAATATTATATTTGTATGCTATTATAGTGTTTATTAATATTCTGAATTAGCTTTTATTTTTATACTCCCAGTTTTTTATATTTTTATTTTAGTTTGAGTAATTTTATTTATTTTTGTCATTTTTATTCGTTTTTTAAAATATTTTTATTTTGCTTTAATTTATTAAAATATCTGTATCTAAAGTACATTTTAAATAGCTTTAATTTATTTTTATTTTACTTTATTTTTTAAGAAATAATAAATAATAAAAATAAAAAAATCTAAAAATCAATATTTAATGTACACGTAAAAAACAATGTGAAAAGTATCTGCGTCTATTATAGAAATATAGAATGTTTGATTTAGAACAGTTAGAATTTAAGTTTTAGTAATTTTAGCATTTAAACAAACTTTATCTACTTTATTTTCAGCTATAGGCAACATTTCTGATTTTCTGAATGTTTCAGTTTTTCATTTAATATTAATATTTTTGTTTTATTGTCAACATGATTCTGTCTTTTCAGTAATTCATATATTTATTTCTTTTTCAGGTCTGACAGCTCCTTCAATTTCTTCTTCTTCTTCTTCATTTTCTTCGCTCAGATCGCCGTGTCTGTGATTCAGAGCGTCGGCATTCCTAGATGGGGCAACAGGTACAGTATACATCAGTGCTGAGATCGCTCTATACAGCTTCCCCTGTACTTCATTCTGGATTACAGTAATTCATTAGTAGTGCAAGTTAAGCCAGTAATACGAGTTAGGGAGTATTAAAGGAATATTTCACTCAAGCTATGTTGACTAAGCGTCTCTGAGCTGGACGTTTGTGTTTCTCCTGTGTGACAGATGACTTTCTGACGCTTGGCTCTCTCTTCTGTCTCTTTGACGAGTGTCTGTTCCTGTACTAACGGTTTTCTGCTGCTGGACTTCCTTTAAAACTCTTGCTTCCTCTCTGAAGTACGTCCTCTTGCTCGTTAAACTTCTTGCTTTATGTTTTCCTGTTAGAGCAACGCTTGTCGACCTTTGAACCCCTGATAGAGACGAGCTTGATTTCTCAGTTCTCTTCCATTAATAACATTATCTTCTCAAGATTATTTTGAGACTATTATGAGAATATTGTTATGAGACTCTCTGGAATTCTTGGACTGATTCAGATTGATCAATTGCAGCATTTTGAGATTTTATTATATGTATTTTTATATATGCATTTACTCTGATATTATTCACAATTTTATAGAATATAATTAGAATATATTTTTTAAAGTACATATATATATATATATTATTCTAACTATATTCTGTAAAATTAAAATCTAAAAAATAAAAACTATTCTCAAACTTGTTTTTCATTATTTAGAATATTCGTATACAATATTTGTTACAATATTTATTTTTATTATATATTTATTTATATATTTATAATAATATAAAATGTAATATATTTTATACATTGAAATGAAACATTTCAAAAACGCTGCAATATAACAAAGAGTGAAAAATTTAAGGGGGTCTGAATACTTTCCGTACCCACTGTATATATATATAATGTATGTTAATGCATACACAAATCAAATACTTGATAGGACTAGGTGTTTCAATTCCTAACAATTCAGCACAGTACTAGCCTTGACTACTTTGGAGAAATCTTAGGTGGATTGACTTGTTGCTGCACTCCTGAGGGATAATACAAAAGAAAAGAAAATAAGAGGAAAAGCCAGGACCAGATCTTCACACCAGTGTGACACATCATCAGTTGTGTACCACTGCTTCATGAGATGTTTCGACCTTTTATCACAAGACACCTCAGCAGAGGCAGGCCCACCACAGGCTGATCAGGCCTGGTGTGTATTGCGTGGTGACTAAACTGGTTATTTGGTGGCCCACACTGCCTACAACCAGTGACGGCTTTTTTCGGCGGCAGTGGGAAGTTCCTTAATTGCTTTCCGCTGGGCCTGACCTCTGATACCCACTTCCTTCAGCAGCCTTATTGTGGAATTGGCCTCAAAGCCCCTGCAGCCCACCTCCACTGAACACACCTTCACATTCCAGCCACGATTCGCTGCTTCAGCTGCCAGCTCAGCATACCGCAGCTTCTTTCGTTTCGTAAGCCTCCTCGATACCCTCCTCCCAAGGGACTGTGAGCTCCACAATGAAGACACAATGGCAGGAGTTTGACCAGAGAACCAGATCTGGAAGCAGATTGGTCACTGCGATTTCAGGTAGGAAGGTTAGTCTCTGGTTTGGGTCATTTGCCAGTCCCTAGCTGTATTCAGCAGACAAGTGTTAGGAAATGAAGACTTGGTTCGCTGTTTTTCTCCTTTCTTGGATAAAAGGCGTTAATTGCGTGAAAGACGTCTGGCCAACTAGGGAAATGGCATTGCTTGACACTCTCTTGTCCTCTAATGCTGAGGCCAAGCACCGCAGTACTTAGTTGTGACGCCAAGTATATCTCCTTTGCGTTAAACTGTTTTTACAACTCACTAGGATGTGCTTGAGGGTTGGCGGGGCTGCACACTGGTGACATGTTGGATCCTCTCCACACCAAAGATGTAAGTTGGTTGGAGAGGGCAGTACATCATACGTGGCCTTGATGATGAAACTTAACCCATTCGTTTCCATGTTCCACAGATCACTCCATGTGATTTTACGTTGCTCTATGCCATCCCACTTCATCCAGCAGCCTTGCTGGGCTTGAGAGGGGCTCTTGCACATCTGGCTGCTTCCTCCTGGTGGCGCACCTCCACCAGGTGCCGGTGTTCATATGGTGTAGCTTTTTGCCATGTGGGGGTTGTTGTTCCCAATCCAAGTCCCCCTCTACCATGTTGGACTTTCCCCATTATATCCTGGTGTCTAAGGGCTGCCTTTGCTTCTGCTCCTGTTAAAGCTGACTTTCATTTCCTCCCCGTTGCTAGGGTCAGCGCAGCGCCTCTTATAAAGGGGTCACAGTAATTCCTTGAGTGTCATCTCAAGCCTAGCTTTGGCACATTTATATTCCTCCACAATGCTTGATATAGGCAAAGAGAGAGCTCCATTCCCATACAGGCCTATGCTGCTAAGGCATCTGGGTAGCCCGAGCCACTTCCTCACTTGTTCGTTCACCAGCCGCTCAGCATGGGAAAGTGTTAATTCATAGATGGCAATTGGCCACACGAGACGGGGCAACAACCCAAATTGGAAGCACCATAACTTCAACTTTCCAAGAAGAGCAGTGCTGTTAATTTTCTTGAGGCCACTAATGGTCTCTTGCCTAAGTTGTTCCACCTGTTTGGAGTCTTTGAGCTCCGCTGTGTACCAACGCTTCCAAGGCTTTTGATTGATTTCTCCTGAATCGTTGGTATTGACTCTCCATTTATGCAGAAACTCTTGTTGGTAAGTCGGCCTTTGACAATGGAGTTACTGCGACATTTGCTGGGTTTGAGCTCCATTCGTGCCCACTGGATGTTTTTTGGGATTTTGTCCAGCAGGCGACTGGCATGCCAAAGGCATTAGCAAGATCCAGAAAAACCACATGCAGGTCTTTCTTTTCCTTCTTATCTGGTGCCAGATGGCATTGGCATGTTCCAAGCATCCTGAAAAACCACCTATCCCTGCTTTTTGCACTCAGGTGTCCATGAAGTTGTTATTCTGTAAGGAAGTTGAGAGCCTTTGGGCCACAACACTGGAGAAAATCTTTCCTTCCACATTTAGGAGGTTCATTTGACAAAACTGATAAATATTTGAGGAGTTTTTCTCCTTCGGAATCAGGATCCCTCCGGTCCTTCGCCATCCCTTTGGTTTAACTTGTTGCCACAATCATTAATTTCCAAAGATGTTTCAAGACCCTGTGGGTGTTCTTATAAAGCCTATATTGAACACCATTAGGCCCGGGGGCTGATGCGGATCTTGAGTCTGATGCTCTCAACTTCTCTCCATGAAGGAAGCCTTGTATCCATCTGATGCTCTGGTGGTTGGATTGGTGGCATGTCATCTGGAATGGTAGTTGGCACTTGGCTCTGCTTGTCAGAATAGGTCTTTCTCAGGTGCACCTCAAAGTCCTTTATAGGTACCTTAAGGCTCCCGTTTTTGTCCTTGCCAAAGAGGCATTTTACAAACTTAAAAAGGTCCTTGTAGAAGTAGGGCTGGGTGATTTTTCCGATTTTATCGATTAATTTGAATGTAATGTTTTGCCACAATTGTATTTTTTATAAATCGAGAAATCACGATTTTGAATGGAAATATTACCAAACAAGAATTAGTCGTTTTGACAATATGCAAGTGTTAACAGTAAAGAGAAAACAATGACCGCATGTCGGCGTGATTTAAGCGCTCATGTGTGACGCTCTGTGAAGGACCTTAAGTAGAATATATCACGCCATTCACACAAAATGCGCTTTTGTGTTGACAAAGATGTGATGCAGGCATTGGAATAGGAAAAAATGCAGGAAGATGGTAGTTGAACTTCTTTTAACTTGCCGTTTAAAATGCCGTTTCATGCATGAGACGCTGCAATAGACGCGAGTGCAACAGTCAAACGCGTCCATGTTTACATAGAAAAAACAATGGAAAAGCAGCGTAATCTAATAAAAACCTGTAAAGAACTACTACTATATGTCTGATATTTCATGTTTGCATCATGGTGACAGGCTGAAAGCTGCTGTTCATTGTTTTTACAGAACATTTATAGTTAATAATAGTCTACTGTGTTATACCTTCAGTCATTTTGAATTTAAATTACCTTAACTTTTTAGATTTTTTTAAAAGCATTTTTTCTTGCATTATTTTTGAACATATAATATATATGACAAGTTTGCAGAAGATGTAGTTGTAGTTCATTCATCTTTTTTGCAAAGATATTTAACAAGTGATTTGTTTAATATTTACATCATGTTGACAACTTCATGTGTGGTGCACTTAAAATAGAAATTTCTTTAACTAGAGGGTTAATAAAGAAAAAGTTACTTGAATCCTGTTGTAGTTAAATTTTCAAGTTGACTAGTTAAAAATCCGCCGGGCCTGACCTCTTGATACCCACTTCCTTCAGCAGCCATACATTTATTTTGTTGTTGTTCATTATTCAGAATTTTAACAGTGCATCATTTAGAAGGAACAAACATGAAATTAGTTAATCGATGTTCATTTTGATTACAGCGGCTGGATTAGTGCCATAGCAGCGATTGGCAATAACAAAGCGGTAGGCGTCATCATGATGGTGGTGGCGGCTTTCTTCACAGCCACTGCCGCACTGTCGGTCGTTTTACTGAAAATGGTAAGTAGCTCACGATTTCTGAGTGAAAACCTGTGGTTCTTTGGTTTGGATTCTTGGGTCATTGGTGTGATTCTTTTCCAGGTTCATTCCCACTACCGTCGCACCGGCGCCAGTTTCCAGAAGGCGCAGCAGGAATTCTCCCAGGGCGTCCTCACGAACCGCACCTTCCAGACCGCAGCCGCCAATGCAGCCACCACGGCCGCCCAAAGCTCTCTGCAGAGGAACTAGAACCAGGAAGCACCACCGAGATCCCACCTCTCTTCCCTCACTGTCCCAGCGGTCCACACAGAACCCAAAGCCCAGCTACGCTGCCCTTCTTCACCTGCTTTGGTTCTGGATCTCGATTTGGTTCCGCTTTGGACTGCCGAGGCACTACTTCTGTGTTTATTTTTTGTTTTGAAGCAGAAGGTATGAAGTTGAAATGTTCATCAGTGTGTTTGTATATTTGTATGTATGCAAAATCCTTTCTGATCTTGGTTACGCTGTATATAAAGTAATTTAATGTTTCCCCGTCATCCATAATGGTACAGGAGTCTCTTTAAATAAAAAAAAAAAGTGATCATGAAAGATCTCAAAACCTTCTCAAAGCAATGATTAGATGTTTATGTCATTCGAGTTTAGATGTTATAATTCTGCTATAATTTTACTAAAGGTTAGAGTTGTAAATAAAAGCTTTCATTCATATATCATTAGATTTTCTGAAAACATTTCGCAGTCCATATTAGTGCCAAAAAATAATATGTGCCCAGAATTCCATGGGCCATGTTTGCATAATTAGAATCTTGACAACCTCGGAAACTTGACGAATACGGAGAACATTACTGTTATTGTCTTAATCGTAAGACTGAAGGTGGGATGTAGCTTTTTGCATTGGGTTTGTTTTTTTATAACCATGTAGAGCATTGTTTTTTCCTCTCATGTGTACAAGCTTATTTTAGGCTACTGATTGTAAACAGTCAAATCAAAATAGTTTTATTAGTACTCAAGACTTAAATTTACGTGGTTGATTTTTTTAGCCTCAGAAAGTCCTAACTTTTGAAACAAATGTAAAAGCTGGTTTGCAATAAAATGTGCCACATAAAATGCCACTTGCTGGAAGGAGTTACATAATTTTGTCAAATGAGATGGTAAGATATTTTCCAACAGTGCAAGTTTGAGCAAATAAAATTTTTCTGATTAACAAATTTTGGCATTTGTGTTTATGGTATCAAAGCAAAAGCAGTGCATTTCAAGTATAATTCTCAGTCACATGATCATATCAAACACAATAAATTTCAGATGTCTTTTAGTAAGTTGTATATGGAGTTAAAAATGGGAAAAAATAGATTGTCCAATTTGCTCAGTCATTGTTTTTGATCTACACAAGACTAATTTCTCTAACAAACTTGATTCATGTCATTCTCTAAATTGTAAAATCTACTAGATTAAATTGTGGCCGAATGTGAAACTATCAGGTAGGTTCAACAGCACTTGAGTTTTGTCGACTACTAAAACTAGCTCCCAGCATGCTTCACATGGGACTTAATTTCAAACATTTTTGCTATGTATTTTAAGTATACTTTAATGTGTTTTTAAGCAAAATGAGGGGTGACTTGATCGTGTTTAATGTTCAGTTGTTGTGATTTAGAAACCTGCTTTACTCAAAGGCATTGATTTAATGCTTGGTGTTTAGTTTGCTAATATTTGCTATTGCTAGCTAATAATTCGTTAATACATATTACAATTTAGTGTTGTGACAAAACGATGAAAATGAATAAATCATAACACATTAAGACCCCTTAATTGGATCACTTAAAAATAACTTCCATGAAGTTACATAAACTGTTCGATTCATGTGGAACTGATGATAAATGTATGTAAATTCAACACTTTTTCAGACTTTAGTCCCATGTTCTTTGTTTTTAGCCAGCGGTGTCCCACAAGGCTTTGTATTCGGTCCATTTTGATTAGGCCATAACTTTCTCATTGATTTATTTTATCCATATTTTATCCATCAATGATCTTCTAGATGTCTGAAATGAGCTGAGTAGAAAATCAGCTTTGATAATTTGTGGAAAGTAATGAGCTACATTGTAAAATAATTACAATAAATAATCATTCCAGTTTTTCTTCAATAACCATTGAACCGAAAACCACAAGTATCTGAAATATAAGCAATGTTTTCCAGCAAAAACCAAATGCAAATAGGTCTTATTTAATAATGCAACAAAATAAACAACAGTTAAATGTCTTTGAAACCAGTCGTTTCCTTGAACATCATTGTTACATAAAATAGGTTCATATTTCACATGGCATCAGCGATTCATTTCAAATCCAAAATATAAAAAGTGCAAATGACAGTTGACGGTACACCGACCATATAACATAGTTCGGTGTCTTTTATTTATTTTTTAATCTTCCCCCGTTATTGTAAACACAAACAACAACTGTATTCATAAGCAGACCTTGTTACAGCCACATTGACATTCATGATGTGAAAAACTTTACACAAGCAAGGCAGAGTTTGTCGCTGATATTTTCTTTCGCTCATTCTTTGGGAGAAGGGATTGGCTAAACAGCACAGTGAAAACACAACGCAGAAAATGTAACCGTTCATAACTTACATGGAAAATGTTTACAAAGCAATGTGTCGTCTTCATATAAAAACCAACTGAAAGATGAATATATATATAAAAATTGTCCTTTTTGAGAGTGTACAAAGTATTCACATAAGCAAACATTTGCAGTTTGTCATATATATATTTATATATCTCTCAAAGTACAAAAATCTGAGTCACTTGGCATTAAACTCCTTCATGATGAATCTTTAGGGCCCCCAAAACAGGCATCAGGGTCCTGAGGAAGAGGAACGTACATCTCCGTTCTCACAAAGTCTCACGTTTGAGGAGTTTCTGAAGCACCAAACATCAACGTCACTCGATTCAGACTGAATTAAGATGGTCGAGATCTGCAAGAAGTCAGTATGTCCATGTGGAAATTTCCAATGCATATTCAGACTTTTAATGCTACCAGCGTTTGAGGACAAGAAATCTTCATTTCTCTCCAGAGATGAAACATTTAAACATGATGTAAGACGCTGAAATAAATCCATGAAATATTCATGAGAATTCATGAGCTAACAAAAATAATTGTTCGTAGATTATTTGTAAATTGTTCAATAACTGCTCTAATGTAAATCTCGACATTCAATTCTAATTCAACAACTAAAGTGATGTTGTAGACACTGAGGAAATGTCTATTTGACAATTTACGCAAGAATGGTTTTCTGAATGCAACATTTATGTGAGAATGGTTTCATGATCCATGTACAAATTTTGGTTTAAATCGTTCATTATGTAAATGATTGCACTGATTTGAATGCGACAATTTACATAAGAATGATTTTATGCATAATTTACACTAAATTATTCTGCTTGCATTTCATGAATGAAGCCCAAAGTTTGAGCATGTGAGGTTTTGTCCTAAGAAAAGTCCTAAAATGACCTTGCACACAATGAAAACATACATATACAGGCTAAAAATATAGAATACGTAAATACAACCCTCCAAAAAAAAAACATTAAAAAAAAATTTCTGTGCGGCACTGTTCATCCGAGTTGAGAAAATGGCATTGAGTTTTCATCGTTTTACAGATTCTCTGCCATGCAGGATGGAGAAGATGAAGCGGTGATCCGTTTTCAGTCATTCTCAAGGCTGATCTGAGATCAGCGTTCATTCAAATGTCCCGGTTGTTCCTGAGGACGCGGTTCAGCCGTGAGTGACTGCAGTGGTTCAGTCTGTGGTGATGGCGTTCAGGTCCTTCATCAGACCCTCCAGGTGGGCCATTTCCTCTGAGAGTTCATCTGTCTCATACGTCTGAGAGAGAGAGCCATGCCATAAGAGCCGTGTTAGAGTTAGGATTGAGGGATGCAAGACAACGGAGGGAAAAAAGAGCCACAAAACAAAAGCAGAAAGAGGCAAAGCGACAGGAACAAGAGTGAGGGTATCAGGTTTGATGAGAGTGAGAGTATAAAGCAAGACGCTACAGCGCAACCTACAACAAAACAAACAAAAAACGCATGCATTTCAGAAGCGTAGCACAAATTAAAAAGGAAAAAAAAATGTGCGTTTCATTTTTGGAGTTATTCGTTATACAAAATTAGACACAGAAAGAAAACCATTCAAAATTAAGCCAACCAGTGAGTAAAAAGAGAAGAAATAGGAGAAATAATAATAATAAAAAAAAATTAAACACACATTCAAACTTTCATATAATAGGAGATGACACTACTTTCAAAAAATTAAAAAATATATTTAAACATTTTTTTTCATATTTTTTTTAAAGTAGCAATTTTACTACATTTCCTATGAATGTTTTAAAACAAAAAATTAAATGTTAATGAAAATTGACAAAGTTTGCAAATATTTATGGACCACAATATATATAT